ACTCAGTGACATAAAAAGGCGGTGAAAATGCTTTTCACTCTCGTGTTGGGGGTTCAAACCCCACTATATCAACAAAAAAGTCTCTTTTCCTTTTTAAAGAAAGCATGTTCCAATATTTTTCTCTTCTGTCCCAAAATTTAGGACTTCCATAATGTAGTGAAACTAAAAATTGTACGGTTGGTCAATGAAGAATCAACTAGTTTTAGTAAGACTAAGAGGGCACTCTCTGTTATATATGAAGTCTTTAATTAGGTGTGCACATGTTGATGTCCCTTTCTTGTGGTCAGTGTTCACATTTCAATCTATTAATTATCCCAACCTGCCCACATGACAACGTTGGTTACAAGTTCCTGTAAAATTTGATAATCTAGCAAAAAAAATGATAATCTTTTTTAGTATAAACAATAATTATGATACAGAAAGTAAAACAATTGATCCTTTTTTTTAAAAAAAAAATACCAAAATCCTTTCACCAGTAAAACAACATTGGAAGTATAATGGATTTTTTTTGCTATATGATGGAATGGTATTTTGTTAATGCTAATCAATATTTTGAGTCTATATATTGATCTTGCTAAATTGTAATTAAGTATTTTTATTAAATCTGGAAGGCAGAAAACTCAAATGTTGTCTATATAAAAATAATTAAAAAATATTTACCACTTTGATTGTATAGTGAATGTTGCGTGCCTACTTTGTTGTGTCCTTCGAAAACTACTTTGTGATAGTCCTTCGAAATTGTTTACATACTTTGTTATTTTTACAAAAAAGAATAATTAAAAAATATTTACCACATTACCCCCCCACGGAATGTGGTAAATCTGTTTTACCACTTTGATTGTATAGTTAATGTTGCTGCATCATTTAACTCTTTGATATTGTTTATGCTTTAAGTACGGTTGTTTGTTGTCAAAAAATTAAATTAAATTAGTCCAACAAATACACAGCATGACTAATTTATTTTTAAATTAATGAATAAAGAAATAGAAATTGTATTAGATACTGTGTACGTGTTCTTTTCATTCATGATGTCATCAATAAGCACGAGTACTACGTCATATATATTGTCGTGTTGTAGACATTTTTAGCCCAAATATACGGAAAAGGGTCAAAATTACCCTCGAACTATTTGAAATAGCTCATATATACTTTTTATTTATGTTTGGGATCAAAACTACCCTTACCGTTTATTTTTGGACTACAAATATCCTTAAAACGTTATTTTTGACATATATGCTAACATGACAGTCCACTAGGCAGTCCAACATGACAAAAATCCCTTCCTCTCAATTATGTTGTTCTTCCTAGTTCATCTCTATCACAAAATTTTGTTTAAAAAATATATAAAAAATAGTTCTTTCATTATTCTTGTTTGAGTTATTGTTTGAACTTTGAAATTTCAATTTCGAAGTGCGCTGAAGTTCGTTTAAGATAGTAGTTGTGTGTGGAATGATCGAGTTCATTGTTTAGTTTTGATGTCATCGAATCTGAGGCTGAAAAATTTAATTTTCAAGGTTGAAAGATGTTGAAAAACTTTTGAAGTCATTCTTTTGTGTTGAAACTCGAAAATAACTACTCATTTGAAAGCTTGTTGGTGAGAAATTTCTAGCATTTGTTGGGTTTTTGAAGTGCAAAAATTTGAAGAGATTTAATTGAATGGTACTTAAAATTGCTTTGATATTGCAATTGAGGCTGAAAATTGACATTTAACAACTAATTTTTTAGTATGAAGATTTGAGTTGAAATCCCAATAAATATATGAAAGAGTTCTTAAAAGCTTGAAAAATCTATAAATCAATTTTGTGAATCTATCCCAAATCCCTAACAATGAACTCGATTGTTCAACACGCAATTACAACTTCAAACAAACTTCAACACACTTTGAAATTGAAGTTCCATAGTCCGAACAACAACTCAAACAAGAACAATGAAAGAATTATATTTGATTTTCTTTTTGTGATGGAAATAAACTAGGAAGAAGAACATTATTGAGAGGAAGGTATTTTTGCCATGTTGGACTGCCTGGTTTGTCACACCCCAAAACCAGATGTGATGGCACGTGCCCAAACCCCACCGGACACGTCAGCCTAACACCCAAAAACCCGACGATATAGAATTTATAAAACAAGAATAAGATAGAAAGATAAGCGGAAGTCTTTAAATAAACTCAACATAACCCCAGAATTGGTTGTCACATGTACAAACCTCTAATACAGAATCTGAATAAAATATACAAGTCTCATAGTAAAGTTCTAGAATAGAACAGAACAATAAATATAGATAACTTGAGGGCACGTCTGGAATGAACCGCTACCTCTCAAGTAAGTCTGGAAGCTCTAATCTGAAGATGAGTAATAAGTCGGATTTGATAGAGCTGTCAACCTACACAATTGTGTAGAGGCAAGGGTGAGTACCAAAAGCAACAGGTACTCGCAAGTAACACTAAGCTAAGCTAAACTAGCAGCTACAAACAACTCCTTTCAATCCCAACCGAACCACCGAAACTTCATTCTAACAGCGAACCAACAACCTATACTACACAATTCATAATCAACAGATATATCTAACAGTGTCTCAACATCAATCTCATATCCTCATGTAAGAGCAAATAGATCATATATCACATGAAGAGGGGCAAATAGGAAAAATCCACACACCACAGACAAAGATGAAGTCAAATGCGATGCAAATGCAATAATGATGTCATGTAGTCGTGATGCATGTCTGTCCTAAGATACACATCTGTTGACGTAATCAGACCGCGCTGAATACTCAAATCAGAACCCATGGGGGCCACACATGGACCATGTATCACCGCCGGAACCAGATCCCATCGGCATCCAAATCGCTAGCAGGAGCTAGTCTCGACTGTGTCTCATATCCATCCGTCCTCATATCAGTGTCTCAGAACTCATGCAACAGATAGTTCATACTTGGGATGAATAATGAATATGCACATGTCATCAATCACAATCATATCACGATCACATCATAGTATTACACATTATCTGTCTCAATCACAACCATATCACGATCACATCATAGTATTACACATCATCTGTCTCAATCACAACCACATCATAGTATTACACATCGTCTGTATCAATCATAGCCTACTCATGCTCTTCTATCCCCTCAATATCAGTTATCACATGACTTATTCAACAAATTCAAGTCACATATAACACATTTAGCTCGTTTTATTCCCCATCTTTCAATTACAACAATTTCAATCAACAAATAAAACTCATCCTCAATCCCCATTACTCCCCAACACAATTAGGAAAGTAGTCATGTGTAGTCTAAGAGTTTAACAAAGTTTAGAAGCCACTTGCCTCAAAACACTTCAACTAGTAACTCAAATTTGAGTTTTACCCTTCCGAGCACGCTCCAAATCACCACAATCTATTCATAAATGGAATCTCACAATCAATACGAATCTAACAACACCAATATTGTGAAATTTGGAGAAAAGGGTAAAATGGTCAAAAAAATCTCGTTCCGAAAAATATTCTCGAAATCTGGAAATTTTTTGTGAAAAATGTTCCCCAAGAAATTTAGAATCCAATAGTGAAAACCGTTTCGAAAAAGGAGTTGAAATGAGTTCACAAACTCAAATTTTCTATTAAATTCGGATTAGGCAAAAACCCCCAAATTTTTCAGTTGAGATCTCAAATTTTGATGTTAAAATCCATAAATAATCGATGGAAATCAAAGATATAAGTTGGAAATAACTTACCCAATGAATTCCTTGCGAAAACCCACTTGAAATCACCTATTTTCGAGCTCTCAAAGTCTAAAAATGGAGAAATGGGTATTTTTCAAGTTGGGGGAATTGGCTACTGTTTTTGGCTTTTAAAAAAAGGGGAAGAAACTGCTGTTGCAGCTAAAATACACAGCAGCTGCACACAATTTTAAAACCAAAGTTTAAGTCCCCGTTGGACCCTCGGGATTCGTTCGGAATCTCGTGCACACAAACTAAATATGTACCCCCACTAAATTCGACGTTCCGGACTCAATGGAACCGTCGGAATTTGAATTCGAGGACTCCTTGACCCGAAATTCAATAAGATGCTAAGAAACTAGTTTAACGCCAAAAAAATTCGAAACTCAAACGGAGCGTCTAAAAATTCAACCAAGACTCATTCTAGACTTAGAATCGCCTCCCGAAACCAACGGTACTCTCGGAATTTCAATCTGAGCCTCGGAACCTCATATGTTGACCAAAGTCAACTCTTTATCAAAATTTCACAACTTTAGCAACTTAGGACCTCAATTCTTCGTTTCAACTCCAAATTCGACTCCGTAACTTCACACAGACCCGTTTCGACATTCTAAAACTGTCGGAATCGACGGAAATCCGATCCGAGTCCCGAAACTCCAAATGACTCGAAAAAGCACTTTTTAACCAACTTTAACTCATAAAAACTCAACTTCTCAAAAACTCAACTTTTTGCCAACTTTTCCTCAAACCAACTTTACAACCACAAAACATGGGACTCGGGGCAACTACCGAAAGGGCAAAATAGTCATTTCCACGAAAAATTACCAAAATGACCTTTCGGGTCATTACATCTGGTTGGACTGTCATGTCAGCTCTAATGACAAAGATAATGTTTTAAGGATATTTGAGGTCCAAAATATAGACGGCAAGGGTAGTTTTGATCTCAAACATAATTAAAAGATATATATAAGCTATTTCAAATAGTTCGAGGGTAATTTTGACCCTTCTCCGCCAAATATATACTATTACAAGTTTCATTTATATATTCATGAGAATAAAATATCCTTTTGGCACATTCGAGGAAGGATCAATTATCTAAAAGACAATTTGACTAAAGCAAAGCGACAAGCTTGATATGGGGTATAGTGTAATTATTCATTCAAAATACAAAGTTAAATACTCTGAAATGTCATTATGCTATAGTACATGGGTTGTGATGGTAATATTTGAAATTGTTTCGAGATTTTAGATTCGAGTTCTGATCATGAAAAATATCTTAAAAGAAAGGTTTTGTCCAGAAATTATCAAAGGGTTGGATCGAAAAAAGGTCAAAGGATTCAGTCTCGATATTATTTGTCCAGGAAAAGGAATCTGTTTCGAATGAAGTGAAAAATGAAAGTTGTTCAATGGACTGATTTTGTTCGATCAAGTTATCCGTTAATCCATTGAAAAGGGAATATAAATGATCACTTGACGAAACCTCTGGATACGTTAAGGTTGCAGCAACATTTTGTTCATTTAATTGACACGATCCAGACTGCGATGAATTTGTATTTGTAAATCTCACACGTTTCTTAAGATGAGCATGCCAATGATTTTTGACATCGTTGTCCGATCTTCCTCCTAATTTTTCAGCAATCGCGGACCATCTGCAATATATTTGATATATAATTACGATTTCGGAATATCCAAAAAGGGTACTATACAGAGACATCTTAGTTTGATTGATTAATAAAAATGTAATGTCTAAAGTGCAACATATATATATATATATATATATGTACCTATTTCCAAGTTCATTGTGTAATTTAATTATGAGTTGATCTTCTTCAAGACTATAATTCCCTTTCTTCAAATTAGGCCTTAAGTAATTCATCCATCTCAACCTGCAGCTCTTTCCACATCTCATTAGACCTGAAAATTTCCAACAATAAATAATTAATACTAAGATTTAATATTTTTTTCTTCCAAAAAACTTTTTAAAAGAAAATAAAGCATGCTTTTTATGTACTTCCTTCGTTCCTTTTTAGTTGTTTATAGCTTTTTGTTTGAGAGTCAAACTATATGAATTTTGAAAAAAAATTTAAGATGTTTTTTCATTATATTGATATGAAAAAAATTGCAATTTATAGTATTTTCTGTATAGATTTTGAATATCTAAATTTTATTTTAAAATATCGAAGGAATGTAATCTAATTTAGTCAAATTGACTCTCGAAAAACGCAACATAAGAAATAAAAGGGAACGGAGGGAGTACTACTTACCAGCATATTTAGGCAATTGCCTCCAATTGGGATGACCAAATCTTTCAACAAAAGCTCTTAATTTGTTGTCTTCATCTTCACTCCATGCACCTCTTTTTATTCCATTTTTGTCAATAAAAGGAGTTCTCACCATATTTTCTAATTTGGAAATAATATCTCTCTTTTTGTTATGTTAATTTGATTGTTTACCTTAATCTAACTCTCTCTCTCTGACTAACTTTAATTTGCAGTCTGAAGCTGACAGTCTTATATATGGAATAGCAAGACAACTGAAGCCGTGTTTCTGATTAATATATCCATATAATACTAAATTAACCAAACAATTTGTTTAAAATAATAAGCAATTAATTTAAAACCCCAATGGTCAAAGCATCAAATATATTCCTTCGTCCCAATTCATGTGATACATTTCAGATTTCTAGATTAAAAGGATTTTTTCTTTGATTGCACTTTTTTCATGTCTTTTCAATGTTTTGATCCGTTAATTATCGTGAATTGTATTATTTCTTATGTAATTTCTAAATATAAATTTTATTTTGGAAAATCTAAAAATCATATGTCGCAATTCACAGTTAAAATTATAAATATGACTATCGAAAGAATTGTGTCACACAAATTGAGATAGGGGAGAGAGTATCCAATAAAGAGACTGCTTTCAGTATATAGACTCTAGTCATAAGCTTTCAGCACCAACTTTTTAATAAGGATCCAGAAGACGTGTTAATCGATTTCTTTATTAGTCCAATTTGTAATTTAACTTAATTTATAGCTTTGCTTAGGTTTCTATCATCATATCCCGATTAACGTTTTGTTCATTAATTTATTGGTAATATTTTTGAAGAAAAGTCAATCGATTATAGGTAATTAAGTTAATATATATAATATTTAACCTAAGATCATTATAAATTGATTATAAATGATTAAGAACAACACCAAAAGCTCAGTCAAATCGAAGTATCATAGATATTAAATAAGGAGCACTCTAAACAAGCTGAAATTAACAAAAATAGTACCATAGGTCAATCATTCATGGAAACCAAAATAGAGGTAATAAAACATAAAAATATATGATTGAAATTATCACTTGTATATCTAAAAATGATGCGAAGGTCCTATATATATATATATATATATATATATATATATATATATATATATATGTTTTGTGTTGAGCCAAAAACAAAATAAGTATTGAAGAATCAACTAAACTTAGTAATCGTACTCTATATTATTAGCTGTATGTTCACATGTTGTCTGACCTTTTCACATTTCAATTTAATATCACTCCCAACATCCCCTCACCTTACACTTAAACAAGAACCTATTTTTGCATTATTTATTTATATAAAATAAGGAAACATTCATAAATAGTTTGTCAGCGCAAACTAATTAAAAATGTACTAGCACTGACCAAGTTTTTTTTTTTTTAATTCTCTCTATGAAGTAGAGACATTTGTAAAAGGAGGATAACCTTTCCAAACAAGTGTAACTAAAATATGTTCAATTACGATCAACGATGGATGTGCCGTACTGTAGAGGATGGAGTTGCTCCTCCCTTTTCTAATTCGAGTCCTAGGTATGAATCTTTTTTAGTAGGGAGCGATTTCCCCGGCCTCGAATGTGGCTTTACATGGCGCAAATTCAAAATAGTTGGACTTCAATATGAATATTGGATGAAAAACCAAAAAAAATTAAAATCAATTGACGTCAATTACTCCATATCAATCATTTCTAATTCAAATGATAATAAATTTGATCTATCAAAAGTAGCGTTACTGCTTGCTAACCTACGCATAAATAAACTCACTCTTTTGAGACGATAACAAGATCGAATATCACGTACTCGATCTTAAAGTATTTCCTTCTTATTCTCTTCATCTATACTTTCTAACATGTCTACTATAACTGTTTATTTCTAAATTTCACAATTATAGATATCGTGACACGAGATTAGAGACACATGCATGCAGTGGCGTAGTGGCGTACGCAAGATTTTTTCTAAGCGGTGTCACCATTAAAGGGACAAAAATGGCTCAAGAAAAAAATATGAAAATTTGTTTTAGGCCTCTAAATTATTTTTCATTGTAACAAGTAGATAGTCAAAAAATAAAATGAACAAATAAAAATAAAAATTCAAGCACATAATAAAAAAACAGAATAGCAAAAAAAATATCAACCTGATGTGGAGATTCGAGATGCCGAATAACAATGATTGATGAACAAGAACGGAAAAAAATTTGAACAAACTCACAAGTCAGAAATATACAAATACAAGGATTTAAGGAGTCAACACTATTTTTATGTAACTATAATTTTAATTGATAAAAGGAGATTTTGAGTTTTATATTAATTCTAAAAATAAAAAAGAAGTTGTTAGATTTTGAGTTTTATATTAATTCTAAAAATTAAAAAAAGTTGTTAGATTTTGAATGAATTAAAGTCGGTGGGTAGGTTTGAAGAAAAGGTAAAGGGTCAAATATGCCCCTTAACTATTCGAAAAGGTCTAGATATACTCCCCGTTTAAAGTTTGGCTCACTCGTGCCCTCGCCGTCCAACTTTTCGTCTAGATATGCCCTTATGGGCATTAGTTGGCCTGTTGGAAATATCCAACTCATTTTACATTTCTTTAAATGCCAAATGGAATTGCCACGTCATTTTTATATTACCACGTGACATTTATATTAAAAGGGAAAGGGGTCCGCTTATGCCCCTAAACTATCCGACCCACTTTTAAAAAACCTATCCGACCCATAATCACCCCTCTTTTAAATAACCTATCCAACCCGACCCAAAACCCTTCTTCTATATCTTATCCGACCCAAAACTCATCCCTTTTAACCCATTATCAAAGCCCTAATTTGTTGTTAACTTCTCCATTTCCATCGAAAATATCATGATTTCATTTCCATCGAAAATAGCCCTTCTTCATTGCCATCAAAATAACACGATTTCATTTCAAAGCTAGGGTTCTTGAGAGCCCTCATTACCCTCATCAATTTCAATTTGAGAAGCTCGCACAAGAATAAAAGAGTGTTCTAGTCATCTCCAGTCATCTTCCACCATTCAAGTTTTTTAAAAAATGAGTCAAGACTCGAGTGTTTCAAGTCTGTCGATGGTGAAATGCCAAAGTATTATTGCAACGATGATTTTCACAGCTTTCACTCCAACTAATATTGGAAGACGCTTTTATAAGTGTTCTAAGCCTAATGTAAATTTATCATACAATTTCATTAATTTTAATTTTTTTGGTGAGTATTGATTTCAAGTTCATAATTGTGCAAGGTTATAAATGTGATTATTGGAAATGGGTTGATGATCCGCTTCATCCTAGAGTTGCAAATCTCATCCACAATTTATAGAAGGAAAACAATAATCTTCATCGTGAAAAGAAAGATTTGGAAACGAGGATGACTCATCTTGAAAAGTATTTGGCATTTGAAATTGAAGAAAATTGTGAACGTCTAGACGAAATTACTGTTCCCAAGAGTGAGGAAGTTGTTGTCGATAATGAAGATGTTGTTGTCGATAAGTCTAAGAAAAAAGTTTATAAAATGTGGATTGTGATAGCTATATTGTGGTGGTGTTTTGCAGCATTCTAGGTGATGAAATATGAATTTCTATCATTTTGTAATCTTTAACTTTGTAATCTTTAACTTAGAAAACGTTAAACATGTGTGATGTGGTTAATGACTTTTGATGTGATCAATTTCAAGTAGACGTTTTGGTTTATATGATCTGTTAAGTTTGATGTGATCAATTTCTCAACTACTTTCATCTGCAACTCGTTATTATGTTAATAGACAACAAGGGGGATAAGTACCAGCATCATTATGCAGGAGATGTGAAACATAGTTAATTTTTTATCGTGTTATAATCAAAGAAACGTTATATTTACTTTGGTTCAAACTTTTGCTGATTGTAGATGAGTATAATCATATGATATTTTTTCATAGATAGCTTGAAAAGTCTTCAGTTGATAATGCATTCAATCCATGCTCACATACATGAAAGATTACTTTGCTATTTATTGATTTTGTGAGCTTCTGTCCATACACATACATTTATAATGATCGTTGCTATTTGTTTAGCTGATATGTGTACCAGAGGTGGTGCATATTTGGGCAGTGCATTCCTTTTGCAAGTTATAGAGAGTGTGCAACAAGGGGAATCTTGTCTCTGAAATTTTATCAGCTATTACTAATTTTCAAAGTTCACTCTTGGTACAGTTGCTCCACAATTCACAGGTTAGTAGTTTATGACTGGTGTAACATCCCTCAAAGCTCTTGCATATTGTACTACCTAAAAGTTTTAGGAGTCACTTATAAGTATGAACAAACTTGTCAGTTCTCTAGGTCTTTATGGCAGGCTTATGTTTGGAGTAGCATAACATTTTCCTGCACGGACACCACTACCCTAAAAAAAGTGGCATAACATTTTCCTGCCATCTATAGCCTTTTGACTTAGTATAAATTCATATCTCCAGATATACTTTTAATAACACATCGTACAACCAGTAAATACACCACTCATCATAGTCTATATTCTATAATCTATATCACATTTAAATTGATCACAACTCACAACAACAACAGGGCAACCGCCAACAGCCACAACAATCAACACTCAACACTTAAAGATACTTCTTAACGCAAATATGAAATATCATATTAAATAACTGAATAAAACAGTAACACTACAAGCTGCAAGCCTGCAACATTATAGAAGTCAAAATGCAGCACAATTTAAAATTGTCTAAAATAAAGTCATCACTGCCATAGCCCACACAGACACATAATTTCAAAAATTCAAAATAACAGTCGCACAACCTGAAAATTAAGTCCAAAGCAAGTTGTCCCTTAACCCCCAGCTTCTTGGTTCTTTTGTTTTTTGTCTGCATCTGCACATGTCCAGCAGAGATAGCTTTTTTGCCATTTCATGTTGTTTGATCAGAGAATAAGGCAGATTAGTTGGCACTGAGGCACCAATGTGATCTCCATAAAACTGAATTTTTCTAGCACCAGTTGGAACAACTCTTCTCTTCAACTTCTCAGCCCTTAACTCTGATTCACAAATCACCATTGATCTTAGATGTGGGTCTTCTTCATTTTCAACATCAGGACCATATGGTTCAAACTCTTGTGTTGCAGCCTCAGTTTCAGCCTCAACATCAGGATCATGTTCATTGTCAGACATTGGCATTTTACCTTTCTTTGAACGTGCATTATTTTCAGTACACTTTTTCTATAATTTTTTTTGTATTTAGGTTAATTAGCTTACAATAAAAAAACAAGGAAAAATATGAAAAACATGCAATATTGTAGTTTACCTTGTAATAGGACCTCACTTTGTGATTTGATTTACCACAGTTGTTACATGTCATTTGAGTGTCTTTTCTGGACTGAGACTATTCACCTTTTCTTTTTCTGGCTTCATCTGGTTCTCTATTCCTCTTCATTTTAGGTCTACCCAATTGTTTCACAACATCAGGAGGCAACATTGCACTTGAAGGATCAATCTTCCAGAACTCCTGACCTCTTACAGGCTGCATCTTGTTTTTATATGTTAGCATGTAAGCCTCCTTGCTATACCACCAATGTATTGCAGTTATTGGATCTACTTTTTTGTGTGTCAATGCTTTGATGGCATGAGGACAGGGAATACCTGATAAATCTCAAATTCTGCAAGTGCATTTTTTTTGCTCTAGATTGAGAGTGTGCCAATCTTCTCCATCAGACACTTTATAGTCCCAATCTCCATTGAATTTCACCTTACAACCATGTGCTATGGCCTTGTAGTCAATGTACAACTTCATGCATCTTAGATTGAAATCAGTAACACAAGTCTTCAACTTTTTTTCATTTTTCCATAACAATCTCATCACTTGTACTCTTATTTCTTCTAACATCTTAATTATTGGCTTTGCTCTAGCCTAAAGAATCCATGCATTGAATGGCTCAGTGAAGTTGTTATCAACCATCATGTTCTTACACTGAGTATCAAAATAAGTTCTACACCATGCCTTTTGTGGATTCTTTATCAAATTTCTTGCACCATCTTTTGATAATTTTTCCAACTTATTCAACTGGTCCTTAAACTCTTCATTATAGGAACTCCAAGCACACCAGCACATAAGCTTCCTCATTTGACCACTCCTTTATCTTTTGCATCAGTTACTCTTAATGTGTCTCACACAATACCTATGTTGAGCCTCAAGCAACACTTTGTCAACAACATCTATCAGTCCCTGTAACAGTGAAATAAAACAAATGAGAACATGAAATTTATAAGAATCTGATGGTTAAAAGCAGTGATTAAAAGTTGAAAATTAATGTGTGTTAAAAACAGTAAGTAAAAGTGTTTTTGGAATTGTTAGAAAGTGTGTAACAATGAATGTGTATTAAAAACAGTAAGTAAAATTGACAATGAATGTGTATTAAAACAGTAAGTAAAAACTGAGAATGACAGTGTATTAAAACAATAAGTAAAAATTGAGTTAAAAACATCATCATACCTTTTGCATATCTGAAATGAATGTCATTTTTGCACCATCTTTAAGGTCCAAAGACTTCTTCAATAGCTCAATGAACCAGCACTATGTCATGCTTGTTTCTTTGTCCACTATTGTCCATGCTAGTGGATAGAAACTGTTCATAAAATCTTGTCCTAGTGCAACCAACATTAAACCCTTACATATACCTTTCAAGAATGTACCATCAAGCCTAATTAATGGCCTCCAACCAGATTTTCAACTTTTTTTAAGAGCATCAAAACATATGTACATCCTCAAAAATTTTCTTTTTCCTTCAGCTAGGGTATTCCTAGAGATATTTATCAAAATATGACTTCCGGGATTGGATTGCTTAAGCTCTTGTGCATAGGCCTCAAGGTTGTTGTAGTCATCTATAAAACTACCCCTGAGCTAAAGTAACTGCATCAACTTTAGCATTAAAAAAGGCCTCCTCACATGTGTGTTTATTGATGAAAGACTTAATCTTAAACCCTTCAGTTTTGCCATCTCTTGAAATCAAACACCTAAAGGGACATCCCACATCACAACCATACCTAGTTCTCTTTGTATCACCTTTGATTATAGTCAAAGCCCTTTTGTTAGCTAATGCATAATAATTCAGAACCTGTACCTTCTTTCATGTCCTTAAATGTCATACCAACTTGCAATTCCTTGAAGATTTCCAACTTGTCACCTACTACTCTTCCCATTTCCTTACTAATAGCCTCCATCCACTCATGATCACATTCCTCACCCTTAGAAAGATCCCATTCATAATAAGAACCAGCCCTATGTTCACAATCTGTACCAACCTCAACATCTACAAAACATGATTCAAAGTATTGTGATATTTTGGGCAAAGATTGTGAGCTCACCCTCTTCCACAACAAAGAAGTTGACGACTTTAAATTTCTCACATAAAAGGCTAAGGATGACCCTAATTCCATCATTTCCATCTACTATATAATACTTTCCAGAGGGCCCAGTGACTAACAATTGTTTAACCCGCGAAAACCCTAGCTTGGAAGTAAACTCATCACATATATCTTTATGACTCAATAATTAAGGATCAAAATTAAGCCTAGAGTGCACCAATTTCTTAGTGTAAACCAACAGAGGTGAAATGACCCAACTACCCCCGTAGTTGAACACAATTTCAACTTCATCTATTATCCTTCAAAAATACATGAAAGAAACAGTAAAATCAGAGGGACCACATCAAACCAAACACATTAAAAGCTACAAAAATGTAATAAACTTTATCCTAAAAGACAAACATCATCTCGAGACAAGGGCTGGACATTCGGTAATTTGGTTCGATTTTGTTTTTTTTTTCAGTTTTTGGTTCTTGTATAACATGTATCAAACACCGAACCGAAATTCGGTTCGATTTGGTTTTCATTATTTCGAATCGATTTTGTTAGTTCGGTTTTTTTTTGTTATGGGCATGTTTAGCGGGCTTTTTAAAATTTAAAATTTTGCAATTTTTTTTATTGTTCTGTTTGAATTTTCGTTGCTGGTCACTGGTGAGTTGCGTAAAGTGGAAAGTGATCGCTTATAGCGTGTTGTGTGGTCCGTTGTTGCGTGCTGCTGGTCGACTCCAATCGTCGGAGCCCACAAGTGGAAAGTGTTGTGGCTACTGTGTAAAGAAATCTGAAACAAGGAATGAAGGAAAGTAGGAAACCGACGAGTGACGCCTGAAGAATGAAGTGACGGGCTGCGGCTCCTGTGTAAAAAAAGTTAGAAAATTTTGAAAAGACTCGTGTACTTTTTCTTTGACCTAATTTTCTATTATATTTAAATTATAAGATTTATTATTTAATATTAATAATTAATATAATATATTTTGGTAAATCGAAATACTAAATAATACAAAAGTTACATACCAAAAATCGAACCGAAATATCAAAAAATACAAAAACAAATATCGAATACCGAATCGAAAATTGAAATATCGAAATACTTCGGTTCGGTTCGACATTTTAATTTTTCAGTGTTTATGCCCAGCCCTACTCGAGACCACAAAAAGAGAAACAAAGCAAAGCTCACAAAGGCATAAAAGTACATCCTTTAACATTAAACAATGCATTCAAGTGATTTTGGTAGACACAAATCAAATACAACACATGCCTCACTAGGTCAATTTTATTTAGATAACCCTAACCTAACAAAAAAATGTAACAAAATCGAATATATAATTTACTGAATATAGAAGACTTACCTTCAACTTGTAAATCTTCTAAGAACCCTAGCGCCGCAAGCTTCTTAAATCTTCTAAGAACCCTAACGCCACAAGCTTCGTAAATCTTCTAAGAACCCTAGCGCCACAAGCTTCTTTCAATGGAAATGGAGAAGTTAGCAACAAATTAGGGCTTTGATAATGGGTTAAAAGGGATGAGTTTTGGGTCGGGTCGGATCGGATAGGTTATTTAAAATATGGGTGATTTATGGGTCGGATAAGTGTTTTAAAAGTGAGTCGGTTAGTTTAGGGGCATAAGCGACCCCTTTCCCTTTTAATATAAATGCCACGTGGTAATATTGTAAAAATGACGTGGCAATTTCATTTGGCATTGAAAGAAATGTAAAATGAGTTGGATATTTCCAGCAGACCAACTAACGCCCATAAGGACATATCTAGACGAAAAGTTGGACAGCAACGGCATGAGTGAGCCAAATTTTAAACGGGGGTATATCTAGACCTTTTCGAATAGTTTAGGGGCATATTTGACCCTTTACCCTTGAAAAAATTAAAACGTGATTAACAAACAGAAGAAAAAAAACCCTCATAGGAATCAAACTCGTGACGATATTGCGCAAAGAATGTGGCGCGACTGCCAGTTGAGCTAGGCGAATTCTGTTACAAGGGTTGTCCTTTCAATTCTTTTAGCCTTTAGTTTCTTTTTTTCTTTTTTATATAGGCATATTTGGTAAAAAGAAAATCAATGAAGTCGTGTCACGTGACACACCTTAGATATGCCTAAATCCACCCCTGCATGCATGCACAACGCATTTAGTAAGGTTCATATTTTAACATTTCTTGACTGAACCAACTAATGGATTGTCAATAGTAGTCCAAGTAAATAGTAGAGATTACTTTATAGGGAAAATTACTTATATACACACATTTACTTACCTTAATATCTATTTATCCCTACCTTTTTAAAAAATTTCAAAAATCCCTTAATTCCCCCAATTCATAAAATCTTCCAGATACATAAATATTTCACTCATATTTTTAGCCTACATCGACGTTTCTCACTCCCCATTTCACTCCTCCATTTTATCCCTAAATTCTCTCACTTCTTTAGCAGTTACAAATTTCAAATTCATTTTGATTTTCAGAAGGTGTCTCTCTCAAGTTTATCAATTAATCTATTTTTGAATTTCAAATCTTTTCTATTTCCAATTAATGATTTCAAATTATTCAAGAGGTAGATTTCTTTCCATCACTTCAATTTTTGATTTCTTTTATTATTATTTTTTAATTTTTTCATCTTAAAAAATAAAAATAAAATTACGTCTGTCCCCTACCCTCATTGAAATCTTATTGAACCTTTGCAATTTTAGTTACTCATATGGTCGTTGAAAAATTTTCTTGAAAAATTATTTTTCTTTTAATATTTCTACTATTGAAAAACGTCCAAAAAAAAAGAAGAAAAAAGTTGGATCTGCCATAGCACGGCCATCACTATTAAAGATACAGATTTTCAATGTACTCATTTATTTTGAGTCTTAAATTAGTCTTATCATTGATCTGATACATCACTGCTACAATAACATTTGTTTTATGCAATGTATATTGTTCATATTTAAGATATTGATACATAACTCTAATGTTGTTAAATCTTTGATTAGTGTTTATCAAGTTCAATAGAAATCTACTTGATACATAAACTTTGTGTTATTTATCACACACACACAAAAAAAAGAAGCTATTTTGAAACAATTACATGTATAATGTATTTTTTTTATTTTAAAATATAGAATTTTTCAAACAAAATAAGATACATAAATAATAATGTATCATACACTAATTTTTTAGTTATGATACCTAAATTCAAATTTATACTAAATGTATCTGATACATAACAATTACCAAATAATAATGTATCGATCTCAAACTTAAAATCTTATGGGCAACACTTTCTTATTCAATGTATCTAGTAGAAATACAACACTTATCAATTTAAAATGAAAGGATCCATGATCTCAAACAAAATAAGATACATATATAATAATGTATCATGCACTATTTTTTTAGTTATGATACGTAAATTCGAATTTATACTAAATGTATCTGATACATAAATATTACTAAATAATAATGTATCGATCTCAAACCTAAAATCTTATTGGCAACACTTTCTTATTTAATGTATCTAGTAGAAATACAACACTTATCAATTTAAATTGAAAGGATCATCATGATGTATCTTCTCAAATTTTTCGATAATTTTGAATCAAAATTGAAAGAATCTTTAATGAACTAGGAGAATAATTTTGAAACTCAAAATTTTCAACAATTTTGAATCAAAACGGAAAGGATCTTCAATGAAATGGAGAAGAATTTTGAATCTCAAAATTTTCGTCAATCTTGAATCAAAATCGAAAGGATATTCGATGAACTTGAAGATTCACAAAAGAAATCATTTGTCCAACAACAATTTCATCACTTTTGTATCCTTCATAACTCACCTCGCTTATCCAAAATTTCAACAAAAGTTTTTATGAAACAGAGCGAACGATGAACAAGAAGAAGAAATTTAATTTTTGAATTTTTTGGTTTGTTACACTATAGGATTTTGAATTCTTGACAATAATTTGAAATGGACTAACCTAATTTATGGGATCTTAATTTGATTTTCAGCTTTTTCCCCCCCTTAATTAGTGCAACAAATGGATACTATGAAATCTTAATTTGATTTTTCAGCTTTTTCTCCCTTTAATAAGTGCAACAGATTAATACATGATGTATCAACAATAATGTATCCGGATCCTTAATTATGTATCCGAAATGCCTAAAAAATATGGAATTTATGTAATTACAAAAATAATAGGGATAGAAGGTAATTTAGGTATTACACTATAATATTTATGTAAGTTATACTTATTTATATCAATTAATTACTCCTTCTAGATTACTAAATAAATACAAGTGGTTGCCGATACTTTGTATATATTTCGTTGAGGTCATGAATATGCATGACATTTACGTCATGATCTTTTGGCGTTACTTCAGAGTTTTCGCCGAAAACGCGGATCCAAACTACTAGTACTAGAAAATGTCCCTATAACACGCTGGAGGAGGAGTCAATATACTTAATTAGCTACGAATAATGTTCCATTATACTTTATACTATAGTACTATTTTGTCTATATGTTTTAAACAGAAAACATATTTTATATCGCTATTATATGATATGGTTTGATAAGATATAATATTAATTTCTATAAACTATACTCCACTTCCCACCACCCACCACCCACCACCGTGTACATATTTCCTCAAATTTCATTCCTTCAGTTTTTTTAATCAAACCATTATAAATGAAAAACATTTGTTATTTTCCACCGATGTGGTACAAAAGTACCTTTGACACTGCCAATTTTTCGTGTGTTTTTCCAATGATTAATTTTTAAAACTAAATTTATTTAAATTAATTAAATATTTAAAATTCATATTACACACAAAATGTTGACTAATGTTAATGTCATGTAATTTGACTTTAAAAAGTGAAACATAACAACTATTTATATATTTAAAATAAATTATTGCCACTTAACCTATCATGAAAAGTTTATGCTAACACTTCCTATGAGATAACATTCATAACTAAGCATATTAATCATAAACAAAATTTAAATTATACATACAATAATCTTATAATGTTCTAAAATGTTGACTAAAGTTAATGTTCATGTAATTTGACTTTTAAAAAGTGAAACATAACAACTATTTATATATTTAAAATAAATTATTGCCACCTAACCTATCATGAAAAGTTTATGCTAACACTTCTATGAGATAACATTCATAACTAAGCATATTAATGATAAACAAAATTTAAATTATACATACAATAATCTTATAAATAAAAAGTTGAAAATACAAATAAATTATATAACTTTAAAGTGTGCACGAAAGTTATTATCGACAATTGATAGTATATCTTATTTGGTATTTGTGACATTTAATATTTTAATTTGTCTTTTAATTATTATATTTTAACATACTAAATTATATATTTGCAAATAAATATCATTTAATAACTTACTATAGAGGAATTATATCATTTAATGCTTGCAAAAAAAGATATATCAATTGAATATACAAGTAAAATTTATTTATTTTTCATTTAATAAATTATATTAATGATCGAGGTCCTCAAACTTCACATTAGTAATGTATATAATCGATTTTTTCTCTACTCAAAATTAGTGCTTGACATCTTCAATAATACACGATTTGATATAAAATAATATTAAATCAAAATTCATTGCATCTATGATAGTTATTTTTTTTTATTGGATAAATAACTAGCCATATAGTTTTCAACTAAAAGTAGAGTAAATATTTAACAATAAAATTCATTCTAATGTCATTATTATTTTTTATATTATTAAACAAAATTATTTTGTTAAGTATATTTTTAAGAAAATATTTCTCGAAGAGTACTCCAAATAAAAATAATCCTTAAATTCCAAAAAAAGAAAACTTCTCATTTAATTATATAAAAAAAAATAATTCAAGTATGCATATTTCCAAGTAAATTCCTCTAAAAATGTCCAACCAAATTCACACTAATAAAATCTCCAAGTATGAACATTTCAAAGTAAAACCTCAAGAAATAAATCCCCTACAAATTTGGAGAACATGAATCTCTAGGTAATATCATATATAAAATTATTTCTAGATGAATTTCCAAGTAATTATTCCTCGCAAAATTTGCAAATGAGTTTATCTAGCGATTTGCATACTAAATAGATTGAAAAAATAATAATATTCTTTTTATTACTTGCGAATTTACTTATGAAAATGATACTTGCAAATCGTTTTCCCAAATAATTCCCCAGGTAATAATTTTGTAAAAATGGCGCCAAATTTACCTACCAATTTTTCTGGGAAAATATTTTCCAAGGTAAAAATATTTAGAATTTAGGAATTTCAAGTTACCACATGAAAATTTGTAGGAAATTTCTGCAGAAATAATCCCCATGTAAAATCTCCAAGTAATTTACAATTTTCTAGTAGTGAGACTAGACAAATCCTAACAGAAAGAAGAATATCAAAATTTCAAATTGCTTCCCCCCTTACAGCGAAGAAACCTTTCAGATTTGTTCAAAAACTTTTGTCGAAATTTTAGTTAAGCGCTGTGAGTTATGAATGATACAAAAGTGATGTAATTGTTGTTGGACAAAATATTTCTTTTGTAAATCTTCAAGTTCATCGAAGATCCTTTCAATTTTGATTCAAGATTGTCGAAAATTTTGAGATTCAACATTCTTCTCTTAGGTTGAAAATAACAAATACCTTTTGGTTAAATTTTGTGTCCACCCACACACCATAGGTAAAATATAAATGAAATGGAGGGAGGAACATATTTTGACTAAAGCAAATGAACGTCGTTAATATATTACACAGTAAACATTATTATTGTTATATTATTCACTCTTATAAGATATACTAATACGTAATTAATTTATGTTCAAAAATATAAAAGCTCTAATATTATTGAAGAAAGAAAGATTGTGTCCAAAAATCGTCGAATAATGGTTCGGACCAAAAATTAAAATCAAAGGTTTCTGTCTGAGAATTGTTTGGAAGTGATTGTTCCACTGTATTGATACTTGAAAGTTGTTCCATTGTCTTAATGTGATTATTATTTTCTTCGATCCAGTCCATTCCATTTATCATATTCGATAAATTATAGCCATCTTCATCATGTTCACAAGATTGAGAATCAAACTGCGAAGATTCATGAGTAAATTGCTCTGACGTTGATGAATAGGTATTTGTTAATCTCAGACGTTTCTTAAGATGAGCATGCCAATGGTTTTTTACATTGTTGTCTGATCTTCCTGGTAATTTTGCAGCTATCGCTGACCATCTGCAACATTTGGATACGTATTATAAAAGGAACTACTATGTACGACTTAATTAGTTTAATTAATAATGTAATCTCTTAGTGCAACATATATATATTTATACCTGTTTCCGAGTTCGTTGTGTAATTTAATAATGAGTTGTTCTTCTTCATGACTATAATTTCCTTTCTTCAAACCAGGCCTTAAGTGATTCATCCATCTCAATCTACAACTCTTTCCACATCTCATTAGACCTGAAAAATACCCCCCAAAAAAGTAATTAGTAAGAATTGAACGTTTGATGAACGATCAATCTTTTTTAATTAATACTTTTGTAAAAGTTCATCAATCTTTTTTAATTAATACTTTTATAAAAAAAAGTTCGAGGCTCATAACTCAACCTTCTTCTTGGTTGTCATTATTATTTAAGTATTCTCATTTGTAAAAATCATCATAGAGTGTATTACAGATTCTGTAGTGATCACAAAATACTTAGTTCTTTTTAACTCTTTTTTTCTTCATGCTTGTTAGTTCGTATAGATAGGATACTTTATTAGGATTGGTAAGGTAAGGTCTAACTCCCCTTGCTAGACACTTTGTCTAGTGGTAAATTTGCTTTAAAAAAAATAAACTTTAATTCTCTTCCCAAAATCTACGTCCTCTATTTCAATTTATGTGTTTTAATTTTTTAGCTTTTTTAATTCCAACATCACACATAACATATTTTAAATCACAAGATTCAAAAATTCTTTACCTTTATTAAACTCCACGCCTGATCAAAACTATACGCATAAAATAGAATGGGGGAGTACTGAGTAATACTAAGAAGCATATGCTAAAAAAGTTAAAAAAGGATACAACATGAATGAGAAAAAGTTTGGGCTAAAATATATATACTAACCAGCATATTTAGGCAATTGTCTCCAATTGGGATGACCAAATCTTTCAACAAAAGCTCTTAATTTATTGTCTTCACCTTCACTCCATGCACCTCTTTTTATTCCATTTTTATCAGTAAAAAGGAGTTCTCACCATTTTCTAAATTTGATTTGTTTACCTTAATACTTAGTTTGCAGTGTAAAGTTTGTGCTGCTTTATATACATATGTGATAGCTATGTTTGTGATTATTTAATAATTGTTCAACTAATTTCTAATGAGAATCTGGTTTTAGAATAAATAATGGGAACTCCCATCAAAGGTCAAGGCACGCATACATCCAATAAGGAGACGGCTGCTTAAGTAATACTCTCTTGACTTTTAGTGATAACACTACACAAGAAATTAAAACGATAATAGTTTAATTACGGCTAAATATGTATTTTTAAAGGTAATTAACATTCTTTATAAATATCTCTAAAGCATATAAAAATATTAGATTCAATAACAATTAGCTATAGTGTCTGTAAAGACTTAAACACTCTTTATTCATGTGTATATTTATTGTTACTAAAAACTGTTTTTGTTGTAATGTAAAGTGGAATAAAAAATTTAACTCATGAAAACATAATTCGCGAGTTTATGACTCGATTATTTATTAATTAAACATATTTGTACTATTCTAATTCAGCTCATCATTTAGGATTGAAATACAGCTCAACTTGACCCTTTTTACTAGAACCAGAAATTTGTTTAATATAAAAGTTTTTGATATCCCTTTATAAATATAAAAATATAAAATTTATCGACAACTTTTTAAGCTTATCAATACATTTTATTTAGATTCTTGAATCATAATGTGTATCATTAGGGGCGGAGCCAACTTATGGTAAAGAATTCATCCGAACCTCCTTTATCAAAAAATTATACAAGTTATACATGAATAAAATTATTTTTAATGTATATATTATAAATATCGGACCCTTTTCGACTAGTTCGTGTGCTTATTTCTTCAAATTTTAAATCTTCTTACTGAAAACACTGTCTTGCCACTGTGTATCATAATTTATTACTCCCTCCTCCAACATGAAGTTTAGAAAGTAGGAATATTGTAATTTTTAAATTAAAAATATGTGTATCAAATATCTTTTTGGATCATATCATGTCATCTAAAATATTAGAGTCAATTAAATATTAAATATAAATACTACTGTATATTCTTTTCAAACGAACTTAGAAAAAGTTTACATATAGATGGAAATCAAAGAAATATTTGCACATAATTGTATTTTTTAAAATTTATTTTTAGTTAGTAAAGAAATTAATGGGAGCCTTCTATTATAGAGTCTTCTGCTTTTCACATTTTGGCTGCCGCATTTCTCTGTTTACATTTGAGTCTAATACCCCAACTTGCCAGCAGTCAACGACATAAATACTCTAAAACAAATTTTGGCATTATTAGACCTTATATATTGACACCATTGATTACTTGTATAGAGTTCGGAGATTTTAATTTTATGAGTTATAAATTTTAAAATAACAACTTTGAATGATAGTATTTGAGTTTAAAATATAATTTTTTAATACAAATACATTGTTTAATAAATATTACTGAATTCAATCGAACTGAACTCCAACCTTCTAACTCCACCTATATCTATTCAAGCAGGAAAATTTCAAAACATATACTACCTGCGTTGTAATTATGTCTCCATAATTATTTGATGGGACTTGGGAGTCCCATAGGACATAATGTTTAAAAGTATTTTATCTGGACAAATGAATAGAGGATACATGTTTAATTAATATTTAATTAAATATTATATTTAACGTAAGACAAAAAGTTTTATCTTAAAAAGGAATATACATAAAGTAAGGATCATATCCTTCCTTACACCTTTTATTTTAAAGCATATCGTTAATGGAGGGGCAATAAACGTGATACACACATACACTGCATTTTGTGAATGGAGGGACAATTTTATGTATGAAAATAACGTTAGGGGGAAATTAGATCTCATAAGTGAAGGTACATTTTTTATTCATTTCTAATAAGTTAAGAATATTTTTTATCTCAAGACGTGGGATGGGCAAATTTAAAAATTCGATAGATGGAAGAATGAACATTTTAAAATTATTTCTAATACGTTAGGAGCATATTTAATCTTTTTTTTTTTTGAAAAAATCACAGAAATCCCATAGTTTAGTTTACTTATTACCATTATCCCCTATAAGTTTTACAAATCTCCAAAATCCCTCATTTTCACGCATAGATTAGTGTATCTAGTGCATCATATCATCAACTTATATTATTGTATCTCGCGCATCAAATTAGTGTATCATGTCTAAAATGTACATCAGATTAGTGTATTATGTATAAAATGTAATGTATCTTACTTAACGATTAATGTATCTCACACATCAGATTAATGTATCAACGCTTATATTATTGTACCGTTTGAGGGATTTCTGTAATTATAAACTTTTAAGGGATAGATTGTAATTTTGCCTTAAAAGTATGTGATTTATGTAATTTGCCCCTTTTTTTAAACTACATAACTAAACGTACATCTCTACCATATATACTAATATTATCTATACTTTCAAACAATTACATATATTACCACTTTTAATATTTTATACCATATATTTTAAATACATATTAGAGACACAAATCCCTTAATACTAGAATTGGTTAATTATCTTTATATTTAAACACCAAAATTAATGATCCAATTACCATTAATATTTTTTCTCTATCATCAAGTTTTCCTTTACCATCTCTCCAGAACTTGGTAAAAATTATTTCATTATGTATCTAGTTTAATTTTCATATGTATCTAATTGTAATTTCAACGTATCTAAACTTTATGAATTGTATTTGATTTTAGTCTCCCTTGATTTTAATAGCCCTATGTATCTAGTGTGTGTTTTTTTCCTGTATCTCATTTAATATTTTTATGTATCTATCTTTTTATTAATGTATCTAAACTTCCAATGTCTTGTATGTACTTTCTATTAATGTACCTAAATCGTTAATGTCTTGTATCTGATTTTTATGTTAATGTATTTGGCGTGCATATGCCTCTCTGGTTATATCTAGTATATTTATTAATGTATTTGATATAATATCATTATGTATCTGATTATTTTACGTTAATGTAATTAAGCTTTCATTGTCTTTGTATCTCAAGTAATTTTGCAGCACTAGCACTTTCAATTTCAAATTGAAAAGATGATGAATTTGGCTAAAAAATAACTTCACCATCATGGTTATAATTCGAAATGAAGATTGATTATTGTAAAAAAAATAAAAAAATTATATATATTTATAAAAATCGAGATTCAAAGAAAGAATATCGAATTAATAGAAAGAAGAATATGTATACACTTTTTGTGATTTTGGGAAAGAAATGAATGAAATTTTATATATGTATCTGAAGTAGCATTACATGTAGTTTCAGTTCTACCTTCAAGTCCCATTCGAACAATTGATGTATCTCGCTCAAAAGATATTTCACCATTATTACTACGGCCAAAATTTTGATCTTTAATTGTTATGCATAATGGATATAACCCGCAATCAAATTAACATCTTTTTAATTCCATAAGATATCTCATTCTCATCTCATTTCGAATTTCATTATTGTAATCAAATTGTCTTCCATTATATAGCTGATCTCAATGCTTTTGTGTGTACACTCAATTCATAGTTATGAAATCTGTCAATGTTAAAGCCATGGACAAATTTAGTGTGTTTTGATTTGGTTGATTTTTTGGTGGTATGCAATATTATTTGGACAAATTTTTTGGTGGCTTAACAAAGCAGCACTCCTTGTTTGATGGCCCAGAAACATTGTCAAGACCAGCAATCAGTGTCGGCAAGTTGCACGCTACTAAATTGTGTTCCATCGATTCTTAATTTTTGTATTTGATTTCAGAGAGCCATGAATCCGAATGCCTCAATAATACTGTGATATTGACCATTTGGAAAAAAAAAATTGAAACTTGAGGATACACAGAAAGGTATTGACGAAAAGATGAAGTTTACAATTTCAGAAATACTAAGGTTTATGATTTCGATATGTTACTAAAAGTGGTAAGAGTTGATTTGGAAGAATCTTTTATATCCGTTTTGGTTGTTAATGTTCATCATTTACTTCTTTAATTAAGGAAATAAGTTATAATCTTTAATTCAAAAGCAATTAAATAGTGTATCTCGATTTTTAAATCTGATGGATACATGTATTTGACCGGCCATGATACATGTATCCGAGGCCAAAAAATGATATATAAAGTAATATAAAAAACTAATGGGAATTCTAGTAATTAGGATCTAAAGTAGTGAGATTTATGTAGTTTACCCTTTTTTTTTTGGAAAAATTACAGAAATCTCACATTTTAGTTTACTTATTACCATTATCTCCTATAAGTTTTACAAATTTCTAAAATCCCTCATTTTCACGCATCAGATTAATGTATCAACACTTATATTATTGTATCTCGTGCATCAAATTAATGTATCAGAGCTATATAAATGTTGATACATGCGCGAGATACAATAATATAAGCGCTGATACATTAATCTGATGCGCGAGATACAATAATATAAGCGCTGATACACTAATTTGATGCGCGAAAATGAGGGATTTCTGTAATTATAAACTTGATAAATTATAATTTTGCCTTTAAAGTATGTGATTTCTGTAAGTAAAAATTAGGCAAATCACATAGTATAAAAAGGAAATTACTTCCTATCCCTACTCTTTCATTAATTACCAAAAATCCCTTTTTTAGTGTCTTTCGGATACATAATATAGCAGCGCGGATACTCTAATTAATAAAGGGCGGATACTTAAATTATTAAGTTGTTGGCACGGATACTTTAATTAATAACGGGCGGATACTTAAATTAACGGGCGGATGCATAATATAGCAGCGCGGATACTTTAATTAATAACGGGCGGATACTTAAACTAATAAAGTATCCGATTAAGTTGAATTGGGGGAAAATAAGGGATTTTTGTATTTTAGTAAAAGAGTAGGGAAATATTGAGAATAAGTAAAGTAATGTTGTGTACTTAAGTAATTTGTCCTTTCTGTAATTTGCCTTTTTTTTTTTTTTTTTTGTAGTAAATGGTCTGAGTATGGGCTATGGGCCCCAACATGCTTGGGCTTCGGGTAATCAATCGGCTTAGTGTTTGCCGGTCCAAGAAGTACTAGTTGCTCCTACATGATGAATCTTAGTATTTTACTAATAAATAAATATGTTCCAATAATAATATTTTAAGGACCAATTTTAATAAATACGAAGCACTAAAATTGCTCATGTGTATGAATTGGAAATTAAAAGTTGAAAACCTTTTACAGTTTAGAAGGATGAGCGATCAACAAGTCAAAACAAAAAGGCTCCAAGAAATATTATTTGGGCCTAAATGTTGACTTAAAACCATTGTGTTTCTTATTTTTTATTTTTTTTTCAATCTTCTCCCCTTCTTCCCAAATTCTGCCATTATTTTTTATTTATTTAAAGGATGATTACGATTCTAAAAACTTCCACTTACTAATTTTAAAAAATATGTACAAACTATATATATGTGTAGTTTATACTTTATATTTAATATATAATATACATTGCTACATACAATATATATACACTAATAGCATATATATTATATATACTGATCATGTTGATAAACTAATTGACCGAACTCTATACATTCGAAACTTAGTACGAATAATCTATTTGGTACATACAGGAAAAAAATAAAGAAAACAAAGTACTAATTGTGGAAATGAAAAACAAGAAACTCTAAACTCCCACAAGAGTTCACTATAATGAAAGTACACAAATAAAATGTGTATTTGTAGTTATGGCAATCTAAGAGCTAAACGTACAAATATGCCGTTAATAGTTTGCCTAGATTTCCTTGTTTGATTACCCCTAATTTTTAATTTAAAAATATTAAGAAAAGATAATAATTTTATTTTTTTCATATTTTATGCTTAGCATTAATTACTTTTACTCTCTAAATCATTTGCTAAGATCTACTCTCTCTGTCCATTTTAATTGTCATACTGTGCTTTTCAAAAGTCAATTTGATTATTTTTTCAAAGTTAAATTAGATTACATTAATTCGATATTTGAAACAAAAAATTTAGATATTAAAAAACTATACGAAAAGTACTATAAATTCCAACTTTTTTGCATATCAATATGATGAAAAAATACATCGTAAAATGTTAGAGAAAGTTATTGTCGTTTGATTTAAAAAGAAAACTATGACAATTAAAAGTGGACGAATATAGTACTAAACATCAATTAATAGGAATAGTGTGACAAAATAATCATCGAAATTATTACTTTCTTGATGAAT